TTAAATTATTATTATTCTGCAAGTAATTGAGTGGGTTATGATAAAAAAATCATCCTGTATATATATACATATATATATATATATATAAATACAATGTGTTAGAACACAAATAAATTTAAATTCACTTATTTTTATTTGAGTTTCTATTATAATAACAGATTACAGCATATAACATAATAAAAAAAAAATTTTACTATTGATACTAAATATAGTTGATAAAACTGAAATATTATTATATTATTGTGATGAATTTGGAACCAAATGTCAATCATATAGTTATTATATATTATAGTTAAAATTATATCTCATCATAGTATTTTTTATGATAGTAATTTTAATTACTGTCAGATTAAATCTATACTGGACCCAACTATGCCACGTCCCCACTGTGCCACAACCCCACTGTGCTGGTTTTTTTTTTTGGTTATATTGATTTTATAGAAATACTTTTTTTAAAAAAAAACTTATCTTGTACGACGTAGCTAGGAATTCCTACTGGAATCTGTGATCTATCCTTAAATACGACCCCAAAAGTTGTAGGGCTATAGGTCTGCAGCAGAAAACTGAATACGTGAAGCCTAGTATAAAATATGATTTTGTAATAAACAAAAAGAAATTAATATATAAATAGTTGGTGCTTAGGACGGTAGGAGAAAAGGGTAGTAGTGAGGGACGCTTGTAGTAAACAAAAGTAATTCAGGTTAGAGTAAGGAAGGAAAAGAGATGTAATGCAGGTGGCCAATGAGAAAATAAGAGTCGTAGCGGGCGTAGTATAAAGAAGGATGGGCAGCAATGGAAAATAAGAGTGGGTACCGGGTACCCAATAAATAAGTACCGGGGAGTGACCATAATAATAAAATGAAATAGAAAAAGATCTCGGATTATGTATGCTTGCGTGAACACGTCTAATATATGAATAAGATGGAATTACAAAGAAGGGTCACTACCTAGCTCCTGCACAGACACGCGTACACGAATTTCTGGCGAGTCACAAATATCGTATTTCTTTATAATAATATTTTAGTTTATTCTCGATGGTCTATCTTATTCTAATTGTTTATTACTAAAAATTATTTAGTAAAGGATTTATTTTTATTTAATTTTTTTTTTTATTTATAAAATAATAAAATTTACAATCTGTACATAAGAAAAGATACAATAAGCGAATAGGTGAACAATAGAATATAAAACATTTGGCTTGAAAACAGGAAAAAAGAAAGCGAAACAGTGATGGAACCCTTTTGACTTGAATTGGTTGTTTTGCCATCACAATATTAATTTAAAAGGTCATGGCACCAGCGAATTTTTAGACGGCGAGGAGGGTTGTCCGGAATTGTAACTGCATGTTGGTTAGCAATTAATGGATTTGGATGTAGAAGTAATTTAGAGTGAAACTTTTTGTAGTATAATTTAACTAAAATATCGACTGGATCAATGTTTAAATCTTTATGTAGGGTAAGATTGGAGACATACCAAGGAGCAGATGTGACTGTACGAAGAGAAATTGCTTGGAAGCCTTTAATTGTCTTAAGCTGTGATGTTTTGGCACAATCCCATATTTGGGATCCGTAAGACCAAATTGGTCTTAACATTGACTTATAAATAATTATTTTGTTATGTACAAGAAGTTTTTATTTTAATACAGGACGTAGTAAGTGGGATCTAATGTTTAATAGCTTTCTTTTAGATTTGAGATGAGGACCCCAAGTTAATATTTTATCAAGGGTAATACCAAGATATTTGAATGGAGTCGAAGAAGGGATAGGAACTCATTGGAAGGAGAGAATAGGCATATTTTTTTTATTGAGAGTGAAAGGAACATTTACTGATTTGTCTGCATTGATTTTAATTTTCCAATTTGTGGACCATTTATCTATTATAGTCGAGGTGGAGTTGAAGAGCATTATAAGCTGCGATTAGGTCTTTATTGGAAGATAAAATGGCTTTATCATCAGCGTAGGTGACCAAGGAGTTATTTTGAGTTTGGGGGATATCTGAAGTTAAAATATTGTATAAATCGGGGAAGAGGTCACTACCTTGCGGAATTCCTGCTAGGATGGGAAAAAGAAAGGAATAAGAATTACCATAACGTACTTTAAAGGTTCTGTTTTCTAGTTACGAACGAATAAAAAGGTATAGGGGAGCAGGAAGGAATGATTTTATTTTATAGAGTTAGCCTGAATGCCAAACCCTATCAAAGACCTGAGCCACTTCGAGAAAGACTCCCGGACAATATTCTTTATTTTCAAAGGATGAGATTATATTGACTAGCCTGTGTATTTGTTGTATATTGGAATGATTTTAACGGAACCTGAATTGAGCGTTGGGTATTACTTTATGTGATTGGTCTTAATCTTTTCAAAATGATTTTCTCGAATAGCTTACCAAGTACTGGAAGCAGACTAATTGGTCTATATGAGGTTGCTATATTGGGGGTTTGCCCGGTTTGAGATTAATAATAATAATGGATTGTTTCTAGATGGTAGGGAAATACGAAAGTCTTAACATGTAGTTAAATATGAAAGTTATTAAAATAATTGTTTTTTAGGGAGATATTTTAAAATCTTGTTTGATATCAAGTCATGCCCAGGTGATTTATTGGACTTTAATTTTTGAATCACATTTACAATTTCATTTGGAGAGACATGTTTAGTAGGGAGAGACATAGGTAGTGAAGAATCTAAAAAAATATTTATTTTGATTAATTGAGAATTGCTAGGAATAATATCAAGGTGAGGCATGAAAATATTCGAAAGATGTTCTCCAAAAAGATTGGATTTGTCACGATCAGATAACGAAAGCGAACCGTCTATTTTTTTAATAGGACAGTGAAAATCTTTCAGTTAAACATATTTTTAGTGGTTTTTCATAATGAACCGTCCTGAGAGTTGAGGAATTTGAATTTTGTGTCAAAGAAGTTGTTTTTATATTTTTGAATTAATTTTTTTGAGGAGTTAGATAGATTATTGAAAGTAGACTTGTCCGAGGAAAGTCTAGTTCTTTGCCAACGGGCATGGGCCCTACGTTTTTCAGAAATTAGTATTTTTATATTGGAAGGTAAAAGAAAAGTTTAGCGATCTCTGGTGAGATTCTTGAAATATTTTTTGTTGTATTTGATTGGTTAATGTGATAGAATCTTTTACGTGGGCGTTTTATGGAATGCGTAAGAAGGTGATTAAATCTTGTGTAAGGGTATTATTTTATTATTTATCTTATCCACGGGAGAACACTAATTTGGTGATATATTTTATTAAGTATAAGTATTAATTGATACCCAAACCCAACCCAACCGATGCTTAACGTTCCGTACATTAAACGAAAACAATAATAACATTGCTACCACGATTTTTCGATTTTATATAAATTCTACAATTTAGTGGTATCATAGATGCCATCGTGCATGAAGAGGTTAAAATTCGAGAAAATTTTTCTCTTCATTTTAGTCATTTTTTTTATAAATATTACAATTTTTTATATTTTCATATTCTAAACTCCTATTTTATTCATGAAAGAATACAAGAAAAGTATTTAATCGTGTTCTATAATTTTTTTTAGCTTCGATGCGTTGGTTTTACTAAGATGTGTTTATTTATTTTTTTTTTTGTGTGTCTGTTACCACTTTTTCTCAGCTCTCACCGAACGGATTTCTTTCAACGATACGTCAAAAAATCACAAATCGTATCTAGTCGAAGATATTATTCTTAAAAATTGAAAAACAATTCCCTCGTTCCCCGTAAATGGGCGAAACCTCCAAAAAAATTACAAATTTAAAAATCGCTTATTTTCGAAATTTTTTCAATTTTTTTTACTAAAAACTGCCGTAATTTTTTCAAAAATGAACATATCAATTTAACTTTTTTTTTTATAGATGCTTTATGTCTTTACCTATCATTTGGTATATTTTTTTTGTAAATTTGACCCTTTATATGTCCACAGGGGGGAATTTAAAATGACAACCTTTTCACAAAAAATTAACTTATGAAAATGTTCCGGAAGGTTTGACACTTTTATGTATATCTTAAATTAAAGCTTATGTAATATACTTTAATTTGAAAAAAAAAAATTTGACCTCTGGACTTGTTTTCAAAGTGAAAATGGCTACCAAATGCTATTTTTGTGTGAAAAATCTCGATTTTATTTTTTATATTTTTAACTTTATAATGCTATAACTTATTGAAAAGTGTATGGATCAACACAATATTTTTATGAGAAAAAATATTTTTGAATAATCCCTTTTTCATTCGACATACTTTATCTTAATTAGGATATTAATAATGAACTAGCAGATCATGTAGCTTTTGGAATAATACACCAATTTTTTAAAATTAAACACTATCTAAAGATTTGCATCAAAGCGTTTTATTTTGATAGTGATTTTAATCACTGTCAGATATCATTATACTTGATCCAACTATACCACGGCACCACTGTGCCGCGACCCCCCTGTGCTGGGTTTTTATATTTATAACTACAATTTTCCTAATTTTTTTGGTTTTTTGAGATTTTTTTTAATTTTAAAACAATAATGGGACAAGAAAACTTCAAATTCAAATGCAGTGGAATAAAACACATAAAATACATAAAAATCATACTCAATCTGAATCCAAAAAATTGTTTTCATCTCGATAATTTCGATTTTTCATGATTTATTGCAATTTTTGAGTTTTTTTTGCTATTTTTCAAATTTTGACAAACAGTAGTGAGTGATATAAAACTTTAAGTTTTTCAAAAGTCAAAAAATGTTTAACTAAAAGTCATTACTTTTATCTCTAGGGCTCCAGACGTAGAGCAGAGTCTAGTTAATATTATATATTATAATAATATATACATTTTTAATAAAATGTAAAAGCAGTTATTATTTTTAGTAAAATAACTTTTACTAATTTACTTTAAAACTGTATTATCGCAATTGATAAATTCTGTTCGAAATGTATATTTTATAAAAATCATTGAATTAAAGATTTTATTAGAGGATAGTAATAACATTTTTTTTATTTCAGAATTATGGCATTATATTTGTTAAATTTGTATACACTTACAATAGCGCTGTTTGGGAAAATTGATAAAATGGTAAATATGGTTTGAACTATAATATAATTTATGTTGTTTCTATGATTATTATGATAATTTTTATGCCTAGATGGGAAGAGGGGTCGAAAAATGTCTAGTGTATTCGTATAAGAATTATAAGTTAATAATCATATTATAGTATCATAGATGATAAAATAAGAATTATTCACTTGTGGCTAATATTATTTAAAATTAAAAATATGTATAAAATAATATTTAAAATTTTCTAATATCAAGAATAAATATATAAAATATTTTTTGATTGTTAAATTGAAAAAATACTATAACTAAAAGAAAACAAAAAAAAAAAAAAATTACAAATACTATAACTAAATATTCTATTATATTTTTTTATTAAATAAATCTTTCATGAAAAAAGGATCACTGTCTATATTGGGAACGAACTAAGCAAAAATGGACTAAACATAAAGCTTTATTAAGCAATACACATTTTTGAGGAAGGGCGATTTTTGTGACAAGAGTACTGTATTATATTTTACTTGTATACTTCCGATTCCACCACTCTATTAATTATTACCCTTTATAATTTATATATAACAACAAAAGAGGATAACATTCTTATTCCTGTTGACTTTTTTACAGGATGAGTCACAAATCACTAAATTTTAATCTAGTAAATTTTTTATGTTGCTCTTATTTTAATAAATTGTTAAACTTTAAAATTATAATCTATACATAATATATAATCAATTTTTAATTTATGTATAATATTAAAACTATTAAAAACTATACACAATGTTAATAAATTTAAAATAGCCACTTTTTAGAGTACATTTTAAGATAAAATTTGGTACTAAATCCCTTTTTAATATTTGGTACACTGAAAAAAAAAACAGTCTAAAATTGTATTATTGCTAAATCAATTATATTTTCGTTTCTAAAACAAATTATTTATTTGCTTAATAAATTTTTTATTAACAAAAATTTTGTTTAATTAACAAAATATTATTGTCGTTTGTATATTAACAATGAATTTGTTGATTTAAGTAACATTTTATTTTTAACGTAGTCACATTTCTAGAGCATTTTAAAGTCATTAAGAATTTTAATTTTTTCGTGTTTATTTTATGGTACCATCGTTTGGTATTATTAACAACATTATAATAGCGATCAATTGTTTTATCCTTCTATTTACCGAACTTAACATGCTACAGAGGGTAGTAGCTCCCTCTCACATGTTAGGGAATCAAAGTTGGTTCTTTGATAGGCCAATGATTGACCATAGTATTATGGCTAGCTTGCACCAGAAGACACAATGGGGATCGAATCCCGGACCCTGTGATCCAAACTATACGTTTCTACTCACTAAGCCAGTCCAACCCCTTACATATATTTCCTATTATATACATTAAATAATTTTGATTGTGCATAAAAAATTAAAAACAAACACAATAGATGCAATTTCTATACGATGCCTTCATACTATTCAATTAAAAATTTGCATTTTTGTTTGCAAAAGTTATTTCAGTTATAAGACCATTATATCATTCGTGGCAATAAAAAGAGAATAATAAAAATAAATAGAATTAATTTCAATTGAATATAAAATATTTAGGTGTATTTTTTATTTTATTTTAATGCAGACTTAATATTTTATTATTACTCTGAAAGATGTTCACTTCATCCATGCGCACTCGTTATACACTGTTTTTTTTTTAAATTTTAGTCTTGTTAAATTAAACATCTTAATGAAACTTAAAAAAAATATTGGTTTTTTCCGCTATTTACTCAATTTTTTTCTCTATTAGCCTATAGTTATTTTAATCAATATCATTGACAGACTACTTAGTTCAATCAGTAACATGTCGTGCCTTAGTGAGTAGAAAACGAGATTAAATTCCATTGCAATGGGCTATGGAGGTTTTCCTGCCCTCTCTGACACAAACAATAGCTTCTAAAGGAAACGTTAAACATGATAAATGATAAGAAAAAAACATCCATTAAAATCACTATAAGCTACTTGATACAATATCAATTACACGGAAGCTGTTTTTTTTATCTTAGCTGCGTTTTTATTAACTGAAAATATAATTTTTCAAATTTTGCATTTTCAATTGTGTAAAACAATTACACTTACACTGAAATTTATAATATAAATTACCAATGATTATTTATACATAGGCTGTTTGTGTAATAATATTATATGTTATTTTTATAGACCAAAGACTTACTGAAATTAAAACCTAATGTCACTGACATAACAAGTTCAATGACGATTTTGACTAAGATGTCTAATTCATCATTATTAATTCCATTATCACTGTTGAATCCTGCAACATTAAATACCGCATCTTCGATAAATGGAGCGTCTAATTCTATGATCTGCAATAGAATAATAATAGAATGTCCATTTTCATTGACTACAACCCACAGTTTCAATAATCATACTAATTTAGTTGACTTAAAAAGTTCATTCAACACGACTTCCAGTACAACAGTTATTATTGAGCCTATTGATTCCTCTATTAACCCGATTAAGTATGTTCAAATTAAAAATTATACCAGCAATTCTTTAACCACGATTGCGCATGAGGTCAATAAAGTTACTACTAATCTATCAAAAAGCTTTAACTTTACTCAAAGTCCAATAACAACAGAAGAATCATTTTACGAAACAATAAATGAAATTAATATCACTGCTAATATATACTATTCTTCTTCTACCGAAGACACTGGTATAGCTGAAACAGATAATTTATTCAAGAATGAACCTTTTGAAAGTAATAATATAATGTCATATCCTGCAATTTATTTGATCATAGATCATAATGAATTTTCGACTTTAGATACAACTACTTTGGATTATACTTCTACCTGGGAATCTGATGATTACAAAGAGACTGATATTGTAGTAGATATGTACAATGAACAATATGATGAAAATATTGAAAACAATACACAAATATTAAATAGAAAAAAAAGGACCTCAACTGTTTTGTTTAATGGCACTCATTGTTTCCAGGATAATTGCCAAATTTCTCCTCATTTTACTGAGTCATTTTCCAATCAAAATGATCTTTTTGAAAAAAACAGTAACGTTTTAAAATTTAATTTTTTAACACGATATAGTTGAGTTATACAGGGTTAATCTATGATGAATATCGTCATAACTTTAAAGTCCCTTTAGGGAGCTATTAGAAATGCATACAAAGTAATTTTGTTCGTTGGGATATTTGTTTTATCGCAAAGTTTAGAAGGAATTAATTTTAGTGAAGAATATTATTTTGTCTGTCAGTACATCTGCTCAGCTCCTACTAAACAGATTTTACTTACTAATATGACTAATATCACAAATAGTATCTAGTCGATATAAAATAATAGTATTTTACTTAAATTTGATTAAATTTTCTTCGTTGTGGTAAAAAGTAGATTGGATTACTTGGATATAAAACTACTCTCGCAAAAAAAAAAAAATATAATTTTTGAAATCGGAAAATTTTTATTACATATTTGATTAAATTGATTACATTCATACATTTTTTATAAATGTATATATCAAATAAAATGTATTATTATATTAGAAATTGGAAAATATACTAATGTTGAAAAATTATCTTTATTGTTAAAATTAAAAAACAGAGATATTCTTTATAAATATGTCGGCATATATTATTTTATTTTCTAATTTATATTTTTACCATTTAGACAAATTTATAGTTGACATTAAGGGTTTTTTTTAGAAAATATTCTGTTTATTTTTGTACATACTTTACTTAAAATTGGACCAGTCATTTTAAGGAGAGGGGTTTTAGTGTGATTAAATTATACTAGCTCAGGTTTAACTAAAAGAATTAACCAAATATATAATATCATACCCTCAAGAATTATTTAGAAGAAGTTGACTCTCTTAATTGGGAAATACATATAGAATTCATTTTTAATCATTACCTAAATAAATCTATAGTATATAATCCCATAAAAAATTGTACTTTTTTAATAATTTATAATATATATAATTAATGCTAATTAATTAGGTTATTAACAATGAGTCATAATATAAGAAGTGGTAATTCTACCAAGTTTCAAGCTTTTATGGCTAATACATTTTTCAAAGATTCTATTAAAGCTTAAGGTTGTAAACTAATATTTACATCATCAAGATCCATAAGTGAAAAAGAAATTTTCTAGTTAAAGAAATTTAGGAATATCTCGAGAAATTAGGATATCGTTAAATGAGCAAATCATTATTCATTGTTTAATTATACAAATTTTTTATATTTTAAGAAAATAAGTACAACTAGATTTAAATTAAAAATAGAATTTAAATTTCTATGACGTATACAAGTTTAACCGCTATACTTAGCCGGTTTCATACAATAATCATAGAAAAATAACATAAAACATAATTTTTTCTTTTCAGAAGTTAATAGTGTCTTACACATATTAATTAATAGCTAGATTTAAGGCTTAGAGTTTACTTCACCCCCTCAAGAAAATTGTAAAAAAAATACTAAAAAATTAATAGCTTATTTAGTTATTTTAGGCTAAAAACCGAAATTAATTTAGTTTTTGATAATCTTTTGAAAACGTTAAAAAATTTAAAATGATATAAATTCAATGGGGAAAAAGAATAAATTATATTTTATCTTATACTTTTAAACATATAGATTGATACATATCTAATAAACCATACTATAGATCACCAAAATTAATCTTGTAATGATTAAAAATGTATATAATAAAAAAATATATTAAAAATTATACCATCCTAAATTCGCATCAATGATCTTTACATTGACTATTATTATTATTATTACTCACTTTGTACTAGGTTTTTTCGTTAAATTATGACACTTCTTCAATATTGAATTGAATGATATACAATTTTGTTTTATTATTAAAACACTATCAAATTTGTAAATAGTGATTAATTTTTAGTAAAAATTATTGAATTTTCTTACATATACCTTTATTACAAGTTGTATTATTTACAAGTATAATAAATGAATAAATAGTTATTATAGTAATGAAATTTAGTATGAAATTGTTAATGAATGATCTAGTATTGTAATTTTTACGAGTAATTATAATAAGTTATAAAATGCTTGTTTATAGAGAAATTCATTTATTATTATCCACTCGATTTTTTTTAAATTATAATTATTTTTAGAAAATAATTTTTAATACGTTTTAAATTTATTTATTTTTTTATTCAGTAATTTTATTTTAAATTTATCCCTTATATCATTTGAGGGTGGTAAGTTTATTACTTTAAGTAACAACAAACTTATTTTACTAGCTAATGAAATCAAAAATGATATAATTGAAAAAATGACTAGTCGAAACAACTTTTAAAATAGTACTCAGAAACTATTATAAGAAAGAGAAGAGACCACGGATGATTAATGTGCAATAATAACAAAAAAATAACTCGCATATAAACTCCACTCTATATTTTAAACTAGTTATAACTTTCAAAATAAAGTGTCAAAAGTTGTCATCGACCAATAATTTTTTAAGTAGAATATTTTTTAATCATAACTAGTTAAATAAGTATGTTTCTATAAAAAAAATAAAGATATAAGGCATAAAGTTTAATAAGTGCTCAATAATGGACAAATAAAAAAAACCTATAAAATTAAAATATACCAAAAAGTATTTTCTTGATGCATTTTTAATAGTATTAACTATTATTTCAAAAGAAATCAAGAGGCTAATATTAAAAAAATCACTCAATATAAACACAACTTTTTATCATTTCAAACTCAACCTAAGGTAAATATATTTAAAAAAATTATTTTTCTTCGTTAAAAAAAATTGAATAATTACCGATTTCAAAAATAAAAATTTTTTGGGAGGTTTTCCCCATTTACAGGAATTTTATACAATTTTAAGAAGCATTTTCTTCAACAAGGTACGATTTATGATCTCTTAATGTATCTTTAAAAGAAATCGGCGCGGTGAGAGCTGAGAAAAAGTGGCGACGGATACAAAAAAGAAATAAATACATCGTGGTAAAATTCACGCATCAAAGCTAAAAAGAACACATAATAATAAAATTAATACCTTCTCAGCTTTGATTTGATGCTAAAAAATTTTTAAACAGATACATAGTGACATTGAAGTTTAATAGGGCCTGTGATCAAATTACTAAAAAGTTAAAACAAATTTTTATTACGTCAAAGAAATCTGTATATCCATCCAATTTTGTGAAAAAAAGTCAACTTCAATTAACATTTATAGATTATATGAACGAGTACCTAAAGATAATGTTTCTAATGACTTCTTATGAGTATATAGAATGATACATAAAAAAGAAAACATATCATAGTAAAATTAATACCATTTCAGTTTTGCATAGAATCTAATTAATTTTTTTTAGGGTAATTTTAACAAGTTAAAATAAATCTATCATTTTTTTTAGATGATAAATAAATTAAAATAATTTACCTTTATATAGTCTGTTTTAAAAATGTACTTATTGATTGAATATTATAATATATTATCAATATAAATCCACAAATTATTATTTAATTTGATTTAGATAATTCATTTTATACATCTAAAATAGAAAATGAAGATGCACCTCGCGAAGATCTTTCATTGCAAGCAACATGCTTTGACTTGACAACCCGACGAAATTTGCGAAAACTTTGCTGGGAAACTATGTTTGGTCAAGAGCTTGTTAAACTGACCGTTTTAGATCTTGTGAGTATATTGCAATGTAAAATACTTAATGGAAATATTAAAAAAAATGTTGAAAGTATGATTGGTATGTGTTACATCACTAAATACCAGAGAATAACATTTATTAAATGATTTTCAAATATTTATCATGGATATTGTAAATTAACTAAATATTACCTAATTAATTACCTAATCATATTAAAAATCAGTTTTTTTCGATGTTTTCTAAAATTAATTAGGATTTAATAAATTTAACAAGAAAATAGATACTAACATAATTTAGATTAATCGAACAGGTACTAATATAATTATATTTGCTGAGTAAGAAGTTCTTGTTTTTACAACTTCTTTATTTTACCAATGTGTTTAAATGTATATAATGTATAAAAAAAACATAAAAAACGGTAGCACAGTGTGGTCCAGGCACAGTGTGACGTAGCAAGTTAATAAATAAGTGATTACATCCTGAGGGTAGACAAAGCGTCAGATTTTCAAAGAATTAATGTCAAATAAAAAGGAAATACTTAAGGTTTTAATAAAAAAAATTATGTTTTGATTCGTTCATTTATCAATATTTTATGGTAATTTTTAGAGAAAAAAAATGTCGAAATTTACCGATTTTAAAAATCGTGATATTTTGAGAATTTTCATCATTTACGGGGAACGGGAGAATTTTTTTCAATTTTTGAGGGTAATGTCTTTGACTAGATAAAATTTGTGATCTTTTGGCGTATTGTTTACCAAAACCTGAGAATGAGTAGTAACAGACACAAAAATAAAAATCACATAATAGTAAAATTAATACCTTTTCAGCTTCGATGTGAAGCTAAAATAAGTTAAAATTTCATTCAACATTTAATTAAATTTTTATGACACATTATAAATATAATATTAAAGACAAAATAATGAATGTATTAATATTGTATAGTAGCTTTAATCATCACACATGTTAAATTTTAATAAATTTTTTATGCTAGGTCTCGACGATATTTACAACTATATTTGTAGACTTCATGAGAGCAGTATTTGTACGATATATGAATAGATGTTGGTGCTGGAATTTAGAGAAGAGGTTTCCACAGTATGGAGAGTTTAAAATAGCTGAAAATATTCTTCATCTAGTCAATAATCAAGGCATGGTCTGGATGGGCATGTTTTTTTCTCCTGGGCTACCTATTATTAATGTGATTAAGTTAATGATTATGATGTATGTTCGATCATGGGCAGTTCTCACTTGTAATATTCCTCATGATGTCGTATTTCGTGCTAGCCGCAGTAATAATTTTTATCTTGGTTTGTTACTCACTATGCTTTTTTTGTGTGTTTTGCCTGTCAGTTACGCTATTGTGTGGATAGAGCCATCTTGGCACTGTGGTCCTTTTTCACAATACAAAAAAATTTACCACATATTTACCAACACTATAAAGAAGGCTGTACAGAAACCCACGATGCATCTTGTATTCGACTACATCGCATCTCCTGCGTTAGTCATACCTATGTTATTACTTCTCATTCTCATAATTTACTATTTGGCTTCGTTGACGTCATCACTAAGAGAAGCCAACAATGATTTGAAGGTAAGTTTTTCTCAAACTTCTAATACATAATTTAATATTTTTGAGATATTATTATTATAACAGTTATTTAAGTATTTTCATGAAAAATTTGGATTTAAAAAAAAAATTAAAAATACGTCAATAATTTTACCAATATTAAAAATTTTAATATTTTTTGTAATTTCCACCATTTACGTGGAACGAGGGAATTTTTTTCAATTTTGAAGGGTAATGTCTCCAACTAGATACAATTTGTGATTTTTTGACGGATCACTGAAAGACATCGGTTCGGTGAAAGCTGAGAAAAAGTGGCAACAGACGTAACAGAACAAAAAACATATCATAGTAAAATTAATGCTTTTCAGCTTCGCATCAAAGATAAGAAAAATTAAAAAAATATATATTATCTATAAAAGAAGTTTTATTAATCTAATTTATTGTTTATTCAGAATTAAAAGTTTCTATAAGTGAAATTAAATTAATTTACTATTTTTCTCATCCTCCTACTTATTTCCTTTTAGCTTCGATGCGAAGCTGAGAAGGTATTGGTTTTACTAAGATGTGTTTTTTTTTTTTTTTTTTTTTTTTTTTTTTTTTTTTTTTTTCC